ATGATCATTATAAATATGTAAATACCTGCTAAATACTATATATAAATTTTAATATATATAGGTCTGAGTAAATGAACAAGTCATCACAGTCTAGAATAGAATGAATAGAAGCTACAAATTCAAAAAAGAAGCCAGATCCACAAGTTTTGTTAAAGCTTAACACAGTGAAAAATAAAATAATACTTGCTGAAGTTTCACAATTACCGCCTTAACAAAATAAAAAAATTATTAACTGGAAAAAATTGGTACATATTTGCAAAAATTGTTTTGATAAATGATATAATGTTTTTTTTGATAAGAGGAATAATACTACCAATATAGCCAGATCAATAAATATCAAGTTAGAAAAAGTTCTTGTTTTAGATATCTAAATAATACAAGATTGTGTGATCATTTCTGTATTAGACTTATTTAAAGATGATTTTTATTGGGTTTTTCAAATATGTGAGTTGGTTATATTATTATGTATTTCCTCATGCTCGATAGTTAAAGAATATCCTTAAAATGAGGTTTGTGATAGAAAAAATTATTGCAATGTTTGTTAATATGAAGAATGAAATTAGTCTTTTGCTAGTAACTAAAGATCAGACTCCATCAATATCAATAATATTGACAACATATTCTCCACCAAAAAATTTTTAAATATATATATTTTTATTCTGTATTTCGTTTTTATTTTTTAGATAAAAACTTAGTGTTGCCGGCAGCAATCATTACTGGATTGTATTTGACCAACTAGCAAAATCAAAACAAATGCTAAAATTTATTAGTGTTAGTATTAAAATCAAATAAAATCAGTGTTGGATAGCATATTATATAGTAAAATTTTACAAAGAATTTTTTTTACTAGAATACAAAGGTGGTTTCATATGCAAAATTTTGAGCCAACACAATTTTTTAATGTTTTCTTTGCTTCACATTCTACAAATATTATACCTAATTCTGCAATATCATTGGCCAAGTGCAACCTGGTAACAATTGCTGCTGCCAGCAAATAGAAATATTCTATTTTTTATATCAATAAAGCTAGCTCTAGTGGCCAATTTCACATATATAATCAGTTTACTTTGCACATATATTTTATAAATTTATTTTATTGTATTATTATCAATATAAATATAATCGAGAATTTTTTTAGTAAAGTAATAGAGTATGAAATTTTTTATTCAAGCATTAGTCCACAAACAACATTATATATCATAGGCTAGGTTTCAAACATATGTATTTATTTTTCGTATGTATTAATAAAAAATTTTTATTGGCAAATTTCGCTTATAGGCCATGAGAAAAAAAAATGTGATATTTTTTTTATTTTGAATGCTTATACACAGTGTATTAGTTATATATAAATCATGTCATCTGAGTTTAAATTATTGAAACAGTGTATTACTAAACTTGAGGCTGAGAATACTGAGCTTAGAAAGAAGAATACTGAGCTTAAAAAGGAGAATATTAAGATCTCTAATCTTAGAAGAAAAATCTCAGAGTTTTATAGTGAGAGAGCTAAACTTATGTGTGAGATTGCTAAGGCTCTAAAAATAACTAAAGAAGAAAAAATGAGGCATGCTGTTGAGAATGCCAAACTCAAGACCAGAATTCAATAGCAAAGATTAATAAACTTAACAGTCTCTACTAATTAATAATCGCAAATTATATTGTAGATTCGAAAAACTATTGTTCTGCAATAAAAATTACATAAAAATAATAAATTAGAAGCCCAGCGGACCCCTCCTTTTATTATTATAAAAAATTATATTGCTAAGACAATATACAAATAAAAAATATATATTGCTATTTTAGAAGCGAATACAAATAAAAAAAATTTAAATAATTTCTGTTTTTGTTTCTGATAATTGTTCTACAAGTATATAAATAATATTTTGATCAGGATTATTTTTGTAAAAAGTATAAAAATCAGTATAAGGTTGTATATTTATATATATACTTTGGGTAGGGCAAATTTAAGAAGCCAGCAAGGTGTACTAGTTGCACCAGATAGTAATAGGGACAAGCAGGCTTGAACTTGAGTTTCTAATGATTGAACACCATTTTATTGAAAACTTTGATTTTAAAAAAATAATATGATAAGCAGAGCATAATGAAACAGTTAAGATAAACATATTTGTTAGTTTTAGGGTTTGGTTTATTAGTTTTGAGGGTATCGTTAGTACTGCTCATTTTTTGTTCTAAATACAAAAAATCATAATAAATAAAAATTCGTTTTCATAGTCTCTGTTAAATAGCAAAAACATTACTTTTTTAAAAAAAAATTCAGCAAGTAAATCAAGTAAAAAATATATAAGTAAAAAATATTGTATTGCTAACTTATTTTATAGACAAGGAACTTGCTTATTTTTATATCATCTATTTACAAAATTCTTTTTTTCTTATATTTATTTGAAAAAATTTATTTTTGAAAAGGCGAACTTGCTAGAAAAAAATTATATAATTAGTAATTATATTACCCAAATCCAATGCTAGTGTTTTCTCTATAAAGCAAAAACATTCGGCTATAAGCTCCATATACTGAATATATTTTGCCATTTTTCTGGTAAAATTAACCTCCTTATAATCGATGATTATTTAAAGTGGGTTTAGATCTAATGATCTTGAAGATGGTGGAAATTCGAAGTCTCCATAACATATAAATTTTGATAAAACTACTGATAAAGAACATCATACTCATTGCCCTTATAGCCTTTTTAAATCTCATTCTTATTGTGGGATCGTATAAAGTAAGGAAAAGGGTCTAAATATTATTTGCATTATTCATAATATTCATTAATAAAAAAATCACACTGTGAAAAATGATTCTGCAGAAGAGTAATATCATATAAAATTTAATACAAGTCATTGATTATTAAAGCTGGTCAAGTTTTTTATTGCATATACAAACTAATATCAAGTGATTGCTATCATTATTATAAAAATATAAAAATATAAAAATATTAGTTAGTTAACTATTAGTTAACTAACTATACTCTGACATCCTCTAGAGACCGTCAGGACACAAAATTTTTGCAGACCTGTGGGACTGTCAAATCAATATTTACTTGCATTTGTATTTACAGTAAAAAAATACTATGCTAGATATTTGATCAATATGCTATTATTATTATCTGCTAACAATATAACCCAAATATAAAAGATGCATAATTATTAGCTGATTTGCCATGTCCAATAATTGTAATACCAAATTTAGTAAACAATTTAATTAGGGGAGTAGCAGATATTATATAATATCATTAAGGGGGGAGGAGGTCAGAGAGACCTGACGTAGTACATAATATATATATATTATATTAATTTTAATTGGCTAATAAATCTGATATGAGGGAGAGAGGGAACCCCCTCTAATAAAAATATATTACATAATAAGTACAACTCCTCTTATTTGTACTAAATATAGAAATTATTGTGCTATGTTAAGATGCCAAATAAAAAATATTAGTTGACTCATGTTTAATTATTGCAATGCCAAGTCATTTATATTGCATACTACTTAATATTGGATTATTACAGTATATACTAAACTAATAAAAATAAGCCATAATTTATAATAAAAGAGTCCTGTACAAAGTTCTATTTTGAATTTGCTTGTTTTCAAGAAATATAAAATTTTTTATTTTTATAAAATTGCTTACTTCTATCATCATTATGTCATTGCAAAATACTCCTGTTATCTTATTCAAGGCCTCTAAAAGCAATCTTCATCAAAAGAATTTGCATGCTACAAAAAAAGTAAAAATTAACTTGTTAGTTCAATCACCAATAAAGGCAATTCCACATCTAATATTATACTTAACTAAACTGATAAAAGAGAAAATATTTTCTATAATCCTTTAAAAGTATATTAATCATCTTTTATTATATTTAGTTTTTTTTTATAGTTTAGTTTTTTTAGAGGCAGTTATAACTTTTCGAGTTTTAAATCTTGGGGTAGAAAAACTTAGTAGAGATATGATCAAAAAATATTATTGTAGGATTAATGATTTAAAAAGTAGCAATATAATTTTAACTTAGATAATAATACAGAGTAGCAGGAAAGAATTCTCAGTTTATAAGTTAGAGCTCGAGAATTCCTTCCTTTAAACATTCGTTTTTATTAAATTTATTTTTAGTAATTTTATATTTAATAAGCTATTTAATTAAAATCTGACAAATTGATCAAGAAAACATATTAAGCTATATTATCTCTAATTCATTTAGTATATATTAAATACTATTCTAAATATTCTGTGTTTCCTGATATAACATACTTCTGGAAACAGAAATTATTAAACGTGTCGTTTATATTTAGAACAACGAAATATAGACAAATTGGTAGATCTTTCAGAATATTTTTCAATTTATTAAGATCATTTACCTGCATAAATAAACATATTCAGTTTGTAATAGTAAATACAAAGCTAATATAAAGACCAATATCTATCTTTATATCATGTATTTTTGCTATTGTTATTTGATATAAATGATGAATTCTATTATGATTTGGCGCAATAGCATCAACAGATTCAAAATTTGTATTTTCAAGAATGTTATAATACCCTAGAACTATTTTATTAATATTATTATCAGGAAATTTTTAAATAAGATGCATATCGATTACTAGCTGCAGGGTTAATTGCAATCGATTTATATCGATTACAATTGATTGCAATCATTTAAATTTAAATGATTGCAATCGATTTATATCGATTACAATCGATTGTAATCATTTAAATTTAAATGATTGCAATTGATTATAATCGATTATAATTAATATAAATCGATTGCAATTAACCCTACAGCTAGTAATCGATATACATCTTATTTAAAAATTTCCTGATAATAAAACTGATGGTGTAGCAAATTTTGAAGGTGAAGTTCTTCTTTGGGTTGTTTAATACTATCTTTGGTTAAGTATTACACATGAAATCACCACCTTTCTGTAAGATATCATATGCCACCATTTCAAAGAATTTGTTAGCTAATGTACCACCAGTACTTTTCGCAAAATTTTAGATTATTTTAACAATCATGTCTTTTGTGTTTTTTTCATAATGCCTATACAAAGCCTCACATATTTCTGTTGAAGCAGAAACATATATTTTATCTATAAAATCAGAGTTAGGAATAATATATATAGCTTTTCTGGAATAACTATCACCTAAGTCTCCACCATTATTTTTAAGATAAATATAAGTATTACATTGAGAGACTATATCATCAACTTTCGGCTTATTATTATATTCATCAAAAACATATCATGATATATATCCCCATCGCATGATCAACTCTTTGACTCAACTTTCAGGTATTTTATTCTTATACTTTATATTCCAAACAGTCCAAATTTCTTCTTCAGTTCAAATTGGTATATAATATTTCCTAACACACCTTTTTACAAATTCATACTACCAACCACTTTTTGGCGTCGTAACCAAAAATGTGAATATCGTTTTCATAGAGCAGAAATTACAAAATCAGCAATATAAAGGCTATCTTGTGAAAATTCATATGTTAAATCAAGAATTTTCATTACACTTATATTTGGTTTGACATGAAGAGTATGGGAATAACCTTGAAATAACTACTCATAGATTATATCTACTAGGGAATATCAATGAGCTAAATAAAAAGCTAAATATAGCAAAAAGTGTGTTTTTCCAATGCCAGGTAATCTAATTATGATACAACCTCTTTTTTCATGATGAGTATGATTGTATTTAATCTTTTCAATTATCTGCAAGTACAACTTCTTTATTAATCTATCCTGTGTTGATATTCTATAGACAATTTTATATGGCAATTTATGGAGATGTAGGAATTTCACAAAATTCATTTTAACCTTTGTTAATTCCTCCATCACAAGTTCACTATTATTAAGTATTAGTTCATTTTGTACATTTAACATTACACAGTTACTCAACACAATTTCATTTCCTTTAACACTTATGTATTCGGATAATGGTCTAGACACGAACATAGTTTTATCAATATTATTTAGTAGTTTAAAGACAATATACATGTCAGAAAGTTTATTTCAAAATTTTTTCTCATGAGAAGTAACAGATTCACAGTTATAAAATTGAGATTCATTCAGTTGCTTCATTGGGGTAGAAAGTGATTTAGAAGTTCCTGATTGAATAAAAAAATAAGATAACTGCAAATTTCCTCGTTTAAAAGCAAAACACTTACTAGTGGTGACAGATGGCTGCACAATGATATAGATGCTAAACAATTTAGTATTTTCAGGTTCTTTGTGAAAAACTGTTTTCATAGTAGCGTTTAGAAGCAACTCTATACCTTTATAATCATTAATGTTTTCAGCAAATATTTTCATGTTTTTGTTTTTTATACTAATAGAAATATCTACCTTTCACAGCCTCAGTTCATTTGAGTTAATATTGGCAAAGGCATTCTTTTTCTCCTCCTTGATTAGCTTTTTGAGGTACCCAACAGTTATGCCTTTATCAATATCAACCGAGAAAAATTTCTCAACAGCATCATCTAAAACAAGACAGAAAACTAACAGTTTTCTGGATTTATTAAAATAAAATCTATTAAACCTTAAATTTAACTATTCAGTTATTATATAGAATTCTAAATATTATAATTTCAGACATAGCATTGCTATAAGCTTCCAAAAATAGTGAAGACTAAATTCTAGAAGTACAAAAATATTTTATATAAAAAATGTTTTAAAAATAACAATTACACAATTTTTCGATCATATGGTTGATCAGTTGATTAGTATTTGACTAATAGAGTGAAAATCAATATATAAGTTTAACGAAAAGCAAGTTTGCTTAATTATATATTTTTTCAATTTTACTAGTCAATAAGTCTTAACTTCTTAAAATATTTCAGAATAATTATATGCGGATCTTCGTAATACCATATTTCTATAAGAACGAAACAGTTTTCATTGCATAGTTCTCTCTTGATCTAATCACATATTAATTGCTTTATAAAGTCTTTCTCATTTTTGTAAAAGTGCTTTATGTATTGCTTATATTGTTTACTTTATACCTCTATTGCAAATCAATATTGTGGATAATAAATATTAAGTTCTAATCCTCGAGGATACTCTAGTGTTTAAGAAATTTGGTCTGCAAATAATAGAAGGTGGGCCAAGAATCTTTGTTATGACTTCATGATATAAATTTTTATATTTTTTTAAGCAATATGGGCACCATGTTTTAGCATACTTTATACTATTAAAACTAGCAAACCATTTATAGCCTTTATTACATTTCCATTGTATTAAAACATTAATATTTTTATATTCAGTAGAAAGACATATACTGCCTTTACTGTATGCAATTTCCTTACAAGCTTCAAGACTACAAGGTTTGATACTAGCACATTGTGCACACTATCTACCTTTATCTTTTATTCGAGTAAGAGGGGTATACCACTCATGACCTTGAATACAATGCCAATGTATTGGTGTATTTGTATTTTTATATTCTGTAGAAAGGTATTTACCACCCTGTTCTTGTGCAATATTATTTGTTATATCAATATTAAAATATTGACACTGTTTGCACCAAGTTCCTTTAATAATATCTTTAGGTAAGGCCTTCTATTTATATTCTTTTTTATACTGCTATTTAAGAAGATTTTGTCTATTAATATACTCATTTGAAATACAAAAACTCTTCTTTTTTCTGCAAGTATTTGCATATCCTTAATTGTTCTAGTTCGATTATGATGATTTATAGAGTATTTTCAATGTTGTGTTTTATTATTGATGTATTTTTCAGAATGCATTTATTTTTTATTATACAAGTATAAGTGGGGGTGCCGCCGGCACCTCTTTAAAGATCATGTTTTTGATTTCAAAATAATCATATATTCAATAATGGTGAAAGTTGGATCTGAATTAGAGAGTTTCTAATAAAACTTGAGAGATCGAAGGATTTCTTAGATATAATGTCTATAGAACTTACTTGCTATTCCAGTGACCACAGTATGTGTTAAGGTCATTTGAGTTTGCATTAGAATTTTCATAATTTCTACTATAATATGTAAAAAATTCTGTTATGAAGCCTACTTGCTATTCTGATGACCACAGTGTAATTAAGATTAATTTGTATCAGAATTTTCTTGTTTTCTATGTAGTTAAGTTTGAATAAGTTTGCAGTAGAGTTATTATAATTTTTATAAGTTACTATAAAAATTTTTTACAGAGCTTGTTTACAATTTCAGTGTGGTTAAATTTGCTTGCACAAAATTATTATTATAATTCTACTAAGAGATACTATAAAAAATTTTGTTACAAAACTTGCTATGGTGCAGGTCATCTAAAGATATTCAAAATTGTAACCCCTTAATGAATATTTAAAAATTTGCAAAAAAAACTTGTAATATTGTAGTCTTATATAAGTTCTACAAAGTTGTGAATTTTTTTTTTGCAAATTTTGACTTATTCATTAAGGAAATACAATTTTAAAAAAACATAATATAATTTTAATATGGCTTTATATAGAGAAAGTAATCATATCATCACTATATAAAGATAGATATACAAACCACCCATCGATAGTTCTTGATAGTATTACAAAAAAAATATATTACATATTCCATTAGGTTTCTAGAACAATAAAATTTAGTTTTCTAAAATCTCTGTGATAATCATGATGCTGTAACACACTTGTCTTATTGCATTTGCACTTCTAATTTTTTTTCTTTTTTAATCTAGTAACAAAAAGCAAAGTGAGTTAGCAAACCTTGCTTTAAAATAAAATTAGTAAAATTCAAATAAAAAGTTATTTGAACTTGGTTAGGTGGGTGTCAGGATATCTTTGATTAAAGTTTGAAATTACACTTTAATTGATAAATTTTTAAAATTTTTCTAAAAACTTTAATCAAAGATATCTCAATACCTATTTAGCCAAATTCAATAAACTTTTTTTGTTTTAATTGTAGAAATCAAGTAGATTTTAAAACAAAAAAAGTTTATCGAATTTGGCCAGGTAGGTATTAAGATATCTTTAATTAAAGTTTTTAGAAAATTTTAAACATTTATCAACTAGAAGTGCAATTTCAAACATTAATCAAAGATATCTTAACACCTACTTGACCAAGTTCAATGAACTTTTTTTTTGTTTTAATTATAGAGATCAACAGAATTTGAATAAAAAAGCTCATTTAATTTGGAGAGGTGAGGTGTTAAGATACCCTCGATTAAATTTAATGACATATTTCTATTTAATAAATGTCAATCAAGATATTAACCTAGCCAAATTCTATTAACTTTCTTTTTTTATTGTGAAATCAGCTGAATTCAAATAAAAAAAATCATTAAATTTGGGCAGGTAGATATCGAGATACCTTTGATACAATATTTAAAGCACTTCTATTTGATAAATGATCAAATTTTTTTATAAAACTTTAATCGAAGGTCTCGACACCCATTTAGCCAAATTTAATGAACTTTTTATAAAGATCATCAGAATTTGAAAAAAAAAGTTCATTGAATTTGGTCGAATTATCTCTATCAAATAGATAGTTAATCATCTGAATAGTATAGGCATAGCCAAGAGTGAGAAAAAGATATTAAGTAGTAATTGAAATTTACTAAAAATAGAATTCAAACAAACAAAGCGGTCTTGAATGCTAATATAAATATAGTATCAGCACAATCAAGGATAAAAAAAGGTAATTGAATGATATATGAAGTTAGTCAGAATTAGGCCACACAAACTTATACTATTGGTTCTCATAATCCGGCCGGGTCAAATTCAACAAAAGTTTGAAAAAAATTTATTATTATATTTATTATCCGGTTGAGCTTTTTTAAATTTTTGTAAAAAAATTTTATATGTTTTTTACATATAAAATTTTTTGAAAATAAAATTAAAAGCTGGGTCGCTGGATTACAAGAAGTTACTTGGTAATATAAAAACCAATAGTATAAGTTTGTATGGCCTTAGGTCAAAGATTTTTAGATTTCACAATTTTCTGTGATATTTTATTTATTTTATTTTTAACTTGTAGAAAAAGTGATAACTAAAGAGTTTTAGTAAAAAACTATCAATCTATCTAAACACCAAAGAATAGAGCTATTTATTCCAAGACTCTTAAAACCTTAAGATAGAAGGCATAAAAAGACTTGGTTTGAGCTCCAAGGCTTGCTGCTGTGTAACTGGATTTCAGGATAAGTATATCCTTAAAGTTTATATATATTGATTGTTTTGTATGCTTCAGTTGACTGTCAAACTCTTCTTCTCGAATTTAGCACAACGGGGCTTTAATATTCGACTTCAATTGTAAAGATTCTTAACAATTGTCACATGAGTCACGAGCAAAAATAGAATCACGATATGTATCAGTATTACATATTAATTTATGCAATAATGATGTTAATCAAACTTTAATTAATATTACATTTTTTCAATATAAAAGGAGTTTAAGTTAATAATCGATACTCTCTTTCTTTTTTTTTATGAAAAATCAATAATACAAATTTGTCAAGATCACAGGTACAAGAAAATACAAAAATAATTTTTATTACAATTGATTTTAAAACACAAAGTGAATAATTATTTATTGATTTTAAATACATATTTTTCTAGAGCAAAAGAAAAAAAAAATCAAATATCTTAGTAATGAGCAAATTTTTCAAAAACTTTTTCTAAAACTTGATGACGAGAATAATATTTCTTTACTACAAATTTAGCAGCCTTTCTAGAAAGTCCAAGTTTGTAGGCACTTATAAAGCATTGAGAACAGCAAGCAAAATGGTGAACCTTTATTAAATCAACAGAATCTAGTACTTCTAGAACTGTTTTTTTGAGGCCCTTGAAAGTGTAATTACAATTAAGTCTTGCATAATGTTTTATCCCAGCCTAAACAGATTTAATGAAATTAAGTTCACAATGAAACTTAGAGTAAAAGATGCATATGTGATCAGCATTTTTTCAATTACCTAAATTATTAATTATGTAAGTAATAGTTTTAAATAATTTTTGTTTTTTTTTTTAAAAAAAAAACTTATTAACCTCTTGTATGCATAATTGTTGAGTTGCAAAGTTAGTTTAAGCCAAAAGAATACATGAGGGCAATATTTTGTGTTGTTTGGATCTGGGCTATTTTTTTTTACAATCAATACACTTTTTTAAAAGGCCTGGTATCCACAAACCTTGTTTTTGAAAAACACATCTAATTCCTTTAGCCTTTTTACACCATTATTATCAAAATAGTTCATTATATACACAGAACCATTAGGCTTTATACTATTACAAAGAGGTGTTTTATCTTTGCCTTTTCTATTTTTATCACCATCTCTCATGTTCATTTCTGAAACTAAAAGGATATCTTTAGCAAATGTATTGTGATTGCTACTATTATCAAATATAAATAGAGCTATCTTGCTGGAGTGTGTTTGATTAAATATCAAGATGGTTGGTTAACTAACTGATCAACTAAATCATTCTCTGTTCACCAACTATCATAATTTATATTCGGATAAATAGCAACACATGTATGGGTATAAGATGCTGTTGATCAGGAAGTAAGTTGTTTATATAATATTTGTATTATGAAAGTTTGAGACGCCTGATAGATTTACAGAAAAAATCACTAATATGAATACTTTGACTTTATAATTAAGAATAGGGATCAAAAATTAGTTAATTTATAATATTTTGGTTAATAATTAAAAATTTTAGTTGACTAATTAGGCTATACAAAGTTGATTTTTTATTTTGCATTATATGGATTTCAAAATTTGGAACGAATAAACATATATATTTTTTTTTTAACCTGCTATAAATTAATAGTTTTATGTTGCATCTGAGACTATACAAAGTTAATTTTTTTGCTTTGCATAGCATGAAATCAGAAATTTGGATGTTAGCAATTAGATTTTTCTATAGGTCTTATCGAACAATTCCAGAAAACTAATGTCTCAACTTAATAAAAGTTAATCTTGATATTCTCAAGTTTGGAATTAGAATTTTTAATTTTATTGTTTCCATTATAGGTTTTCCTTTTAATCATTATTAACATCGACAAGAATATTCACCAAAAAGGATAATTTAAAATCTTGCAAATATCTTTAAGTTTGAATAGAAAATTAAATTAAAGATACTTCATGATTAGAGTTGCCTGCCATAATTGTTTTTAACAAGTTGTAATATTACAACCTATATATCATAATATTGCAACCTATCCCTTAATATATAGACCAACACAGGCAAATTTGCCTGCGTTTTTGCACTTTTTTAGCTCTGATTTACTTTTTT